GGCAGCACCAGCCAGCCCGGGCAGCGGGCAGCGCCTGGAGGGCTCAGGGCTCCACAGAGCCTTGTGAGGGTGAGGGCTGGGGTCTGCCCGAGGACCCATGGCGGCGGCGGGCAGAGGGCCGGCGCGGCCACCCTGGTGCGGCCATCCTGGCGCTGAACGCCAGAGGGCTGGCGGGTGGGTCCTGTGGCCCTGGGTGTATTTTCCTTTTCCCTCCTCAGGCTTTTTAGTAAAATGCCAGAGCAGAGGCCACTTTACCCCTTGTTCTGGGGAAGGGCCTGTCCACCGCCTCTGCTGCCCCTGGACGCCAGGCCCAGCCGTGCACTGATGGCTGCGGTAAAGCCATGTGGCCAGGAAGGGCATTGCCCCTGCAGGCAGAGCTGCATGACAGGCCATGGGGCCCCCCAGCCTGGACAAGGTGCCCCGGGGCCCCAGGGCAGGCCACAGCCCTGCAGGCTGGGAAGGAAGCCAGCCAGTCCCTGCAGGAGGCATAGACAGTGCTGGGCCCGTTGGGGCGGTAGGGCTATGTCCTGGCCACTCTGTCATGTCCCGGACCCCCACTCGGTGTACAGCTCCCCCCTCCAAAGCGCTCACCCTCCTGACCACCCAGACCCCACCATGGCCCCCCCACCCTGCTCTGAATGCACCCCCTCCCCAAAGGCCCCCCGCTGCAGCCAGTTTCCCAGGGGCTCATCACTGGTGTCCACTGCGGTTGCAGCTCCGGCCATCTGGACGGCCCGCCTGCCACCACCCCCCTGAGGCCATAAGAAGGACCCTGACCCAGCTGACCAGTCTGCAAGGATCAGACCCTGGGAAGGGGCACACTGTCCCCACGCCCAGCCCCAAGGTGCGGGTCAGGGCCTCTGGCCGAGCCCCGAGTCCACCGTGGCTTGGGCCTGGCCTGGGGGCCACGGGGATGGGCACCCACTGGCCCTGCAGCCTGCGACATGAGGCCCCACGCGGCTGGGAGGAGGGCTGGGCCGCCCTCAGACCCACACGGGGCTGGGGCTACAGTCCCACAGTCACGCAGCCCCTGGGGCTGGGGGGCGGGGGCCGCCAGAGCAGGGACGGCCCAGCCCACCGGCGAGGGGGCCCGCGGGCCCCACCTAGTGTTGCAGAGCCGCGCCTGGGGCCAGCCTGTGTGCAGGTGCGGAGACTGAGGCCCAGGCAGCAGGGTCCATTGGGCCGCAGCATCAGCACCCCCGTACCCCGAGGGCTAGAGGCTCAGCTCCAGGGCTGGGCGGAGGCTGCCGCCAGGCCTGGAGAGATGGTCTGGGCCTCCCCTCAGCCCAGCATGGCATACGCACAGCGGTCCACACACCGGGAGGCCCCAGGCCAGGAGACAGGCGAGGGGGCGTGGGGGAGGGAATGTCAGCGGCCAGCACTGGGACCGGCTGGTCTGGGGTGTGGCCCAGCAGCCCCCCCGCCCCCCCACCTTGCGGGGCAGGCCCTGTGGAAGTGGGGGGCTGCACTCCAGACCTTCCAACCAGAGAGGAGAGGGAAGAGGAATTCTGGAGATCGGGAGCGCCCAGGCTCTGCTTCTGGGGTCCCCACATGCCTGTGCTGTGGCCACAGCCCCCACCTGCCACTGGGCCCGGCTGCGCCTG